TACAACGTCAAGAAGACCTCGATGTACAGCATGAACGGCAGCGTCAGCAAGGAGATGAGGATGATCGGGCACGCAGACCACACCAAGCAGAACACCAACATCCACACCAAGTAGTCATGCTAGGTCCACGGGGATGGGGTAGGGGGGGGAGGGGAGGTAGGGTGTGATGGGTGGTGGGGAAGGGGTGGGTGTTTTTTTTAGGTTGGGGGCTGGGTGGGTTTTTGGGTGGGGTTTGAGTGGGGTTTTGAGTAGGGGTTGGGTTTTAGGTGGTGATGGGTCTTTTTGGTTAGGGGTTGGGTGGGTTTTTGGGTGGGTTGTTTGGTGGTGGGTGGGGTGGTAGCGGGTCTGGGTGATGAGTGATGTTGGAAAAGAAAGGTGGTGGGTGAGTGGGTTAGGTAGGAGGGGAGAGGTGGTGGGTGGTAGGAGGGGATGAATAGGGTGGGATGAATGGGGAAGGGAGAGGATGGGTGGGTGGGGTAGGCCTTAGTGGTAGGAGGAAGGAGAGGATGAAGCGGGATGTTTGGTGGAGAGGACAGATCTTGGTAGAGGTGGAAGCTGCTGGAGGGGGGGGGTGGAGGGAGGCGAAAGGGAGGCGGTGGGGATGGGGGGGAAGGAATAAGATGGAGGAGGGATAGAGGGGAGGGCGGGTGATGGGATGGGGGACGTTAAGGAGAGAGGGGGAAGTGAGAGAACAAGAGGCACTGTAATTAGAAATGGTTTTGATTGCGATGTCCATATGGATGAAAAATTAGATGGCGATGAATATCATACGGAGGTAAATCTGTTTACCATAATAATATGGATGCTAATAGTTATTTCATCAAAATGACATCAAATAATTAACAGCTCTAGACTATTATTGATAACTAAATCTGTTAATATGATAATAGACGCTTTACACACTGCAAAACGTATATAATCATTAATAACACGTAACTAGCAAGACCATCAGGTACGATAGCCCCCAGAAATATAGCACCTGAAGCCAATCCGGCCGAGGCAAAGTCCTGGTAAAGTCGATATCCGAATTCCATTCCGGTGCGAAAGTTTTCCTTGGCCTTTTCCGAAGCACCAGTGGCAGAGCTCGCGGTCCGGCCAAGTGGGGCATTCCGGATGGTCGTGGGCACGGATAGGAACGACAAATTAGATACCTTTCGAGTTCCTCATTAGCCCAAGGAGATTGCTAAAAGTGGAGAGGCAAAAAGAAGATAAAAAAAAGACCTCGGGAATCATCTTGGCTGAATACAAGGAGGGGAGGGGGAGGGGGGACTGGGGAGGCTGCCAGCTTTTCAAGATGGACTATTTAGGGACGAACTCAATTTTTTTTTCTTTTCGTGAAGTGTAGCAGCCGGTCGGAGCCTACTAGAAGCTCGGCAGACCACGAACGTAATGGAAAGACGTTTCCTCTCTCTCCTCTTCTTCCTCCTCCTTCTCCTTCTTCTTTCTCCACCACCTCCTTCTTTCTTCTTCTTCTTTTTCTTCTTCTTCTTCTTCTTCTTCTTCTTCTTCTCCTCCTCCTCTCCTGCTCCTACCCTACCTCTCCTCCTCCTCTGGCCCCTCTCCTCCTCCTCCTCCTCCTCTCTTTTCTCCTCCTTCCTTCCTCCACCTTCCGTCCTTCTCCACCCCTCCTTCTCTAGTCACTCTCCGTGGGTCTTCTCCACCTCTCTCTCTATCCATCGCTCCTCCTCGTATGTGTCCACTCTCAGTCCTATAACTGCCTCCTCGCTTCCAGCCTCCTCCTCCTCCTCCTCCTCCTCTCCTCAACTCTCTCTCCTCTCCTCCGTCCTCCTCCTCCTCCTCTCCTTCCTCCTCCTCCACTTCCTCCTACTCCTACCTCCTCCACTAATCCTCTACTCCTCTCACCTCCACTTCCTCCTACTCCTCTCCTCCCACTTCCTCCACTTCCACTCCTCCTACTCCTCCTCCCTCCACTTCCTCCATACTCCTCCTCCTCACTTTCCTCCTACTCCTCCTCCTCCACTTCCTCCTACTTCCTCCTCTCCCACTTCTCTCCTAACTCCTCCTCCTCCACTTCCATCCTACTCCCTCCTCTTCCACTTCCCTCCTACTCCGCTCCCTCCTCCACTTCCGCCTCCTTCTTCCTTCTCTCCCTTTCTCCTCACTCTCATTCTCTATTCCAACCCATTCCCTTCTTCTCTCCCTCTGAAGAGGAGAGAGAGAGAGCTACGAGAGATCACCCGAGAGAAGGATAGAGACGAGATTGAGAGGAGCAAGAGAGACAAGAGGAGAGACACGACAGAGAGAGACCACAGGGAGAGAGAGAGAGGTTGAGAGTGGAGAGAGAGAGAGGGGGGGTGAGATAAAATAAATACGAGAACGCTGACTATCTGTGTCAACCCCCCTCCCCCCAGAATATAATGATAATGATAGTAGTAGTACTGATAATAATGATAATTGATAATAATGCTTATGATAATAATGATAATGATTAGTGAGTCAGTACTGATAATAATGATAATTGATAATAATAATAATAATAATAATAATAAATAATAATAGATAATAATAATAATAATATAATAATAATAATTAATAATAATATAATAATAAATAATAGAAATAATAATATTTGATAATAATATCAGAAATTATAATAATTATAATATAATAATAATGATAATAATATAATAATAATAATGATAGTTAATGCTAATGATAATGATGATGATAATGATAATAATAACAATATACTAATAAAATGTAATTAATAATAATAATAATAATAAAGATAATAATGATAATATGATAAAACGATGATGATTGAGTGTGATAATGAAATGATGATGATAATGTAATAATAACAATGATAATAATAACATGATAATAAATAATAATAATAATATAAAGATAATAATATAATGATAATAAACGATGATATAAAGTAATGATAATTAACGATGATGATAATGATAATTATGATAATGATAATTGAAAATTATAATACTTACGATAATGATAATATGGAATATTGATATTAATATGATTAATATGATGAAATAGATGAACTAAACAATAAAGACCGGGAGTCCGCCATAGGTCGATCGAGATACAAGAAACAGTATGACCGGCGGAGAAGAGGGGGAGGGGGCGGGGGAGGGGTGGGGCATGCAGGCGGGAACAGAGGCAAAGGAGAAAGCTGGGAAGATTAAGTTATTTACGGTTCCTGTCACTATGATAACAAACAGAGGGGGAATCCGGCCACAGGGAAGGGTCGCGGGGGGGGAATTTGGGCCGATCGTATTTTAATGTTATTGTCATCGGGATTGATGTTCAGTTTTCCGATACTTTGGTATCAGAGGAGCGACCTGTTTTGGCTCTATTCTTGGGGCGGAACGTAAGTCGCTCTCTCGAATTTTGTGATGGAGTCTGTGTGCACGATATGTTGTATGATCTTTAAAGTATATGGTATATTTTTGGGTACGCAGAGATAAGGAGTACACCACATACATAATTCGTATAGGTGTGTGTGTGTGTGAATGTGTTGTGTGTTGGTGTGTGTGTGTGTGTTGTGTGTGTGTGTAGTGTGTGTGTGTGTGTGGGTGTGTGTGTGTGGTATGTGTATGTGTATGTGTTGTGTGTGTGTTGTGTGTGTGTATTGTGTAGTGTGTTATGAGTGTATGTATGTATGTATGTATTGATGTATGTGTATTATATTTAGCGTTACTTATATATTATATCATAGATACTTATTATACTACTTATAATAATATAGAGAATTACATGTCGTCGACTACCAGACCTCTCGATCCGCTATTTCACTTAGCTCAACGCATATATATAATATGATATGTTGTGTGTACACGCATCCTCATTAGCAGAGTACGACCTCTCGATCGCGAACTCTGCTGATGAGACTAGTAAGATCTATATATTCACGCGACTGCTTATAGCCTAAGCGCCGCTGGGTGTGTGTGGTGTCGAATCTCGTGGTGATTTGATGATCAGCATTGAACTTGGCCGCTGTCTTGTCTGTTGGTGCATACATGTGTGTGTTGTTCCATGTATATTCTTGTCAGGTGTTGGATTCATGGTGTGTGATGTGTGTGTGTGTATGTATGTGTGTTGGTGTTGTGTGTATGGATGTTGGTGCTTCGCCTACGATGTGTGTCTGATCTGTGCTGTGTGTGTGGTACGTTTTGTATCGTATGTACTGTATATGATGTTATTGTATGCCATGCGCATGTATGTATAATACGCATACACTGATCCCGCACCAAGAGGCCGCCAGCCGCCGGCCTTCCCGCGCGACCGTCCCTCCCTGACTCAGCCGCGTCTCCTCCGTCCCTTTCGCCTCTCGACGTCCCGGTTGTCGAAAGCATTAACCTCCATTCCGTTTCGATTGCAATGCGAATGGCAGTCGTGGTAATTAGGCATGCAAAGGGGGGATGAGTGATTGGATTAGGCGCTCGTCCGCGAAGAAAGGGCGAGTTTTGATCGGGGTAGGGCGCCTGCGGAGGGGGAGGAGAGGGGAGGAGAGGGAGGTGAGAGGAAGGGGGAGGGGAGAGGAGGGGAGGGAGGAGGGAGGGAAGGGAGGGAGGGAGGAGGGAGGGGAGGAGGGGAGGGAGAGGGAAGGAGGGAGGGAGGAAAAGTGGGAGAGAGGGAAAAAAGGGGAAGGAGAGATTAGGGATTAGGGGAAAATATGAGAGGAGGAAAGGAAGGAGAAGGAATGGGGTGAGAGAGAGGGAGAAGGGGAAGAAGAGAAGAGGGATCAGGGGAAGGGGGTGAAGAAGAGGGAGAGGGGAATGGAAAAGGAGAGGGGGAATGAGAAGGGGGAGAGGGAGAAGGAGTGGGCAGGGAGAGGGTGGGGATAACGGAAAGGGTGAGAGGAAGGGGAGAATGGGAGAAAGGGACGGAGGGGGAGAGGAAGTGAGGAAGGAGAGATGGACGAGGATGAAGGGAAGAGGAAGCGAGAATGAGAGAGAGAGGGATGAATATGATAATTCGACGAAGAATGACGACAATTATGATAATGATATGGTTATCCCGAAGCTAGAAGATGATAATAATGCCAGTAATAAGATGACGGTATCACGTACCAGACTCCCGCAGACTCTCCGTTCTACGTCTACTACTTTTCACTACCCGAGCGTGTC